TGATAATAATCAGTCTTTATTGACAACGGCTCTTCATAATCTATGAACGCCGTGTTATCGAACATATTATCATCCTTCGGTCGGTTCTGAATTGGCGTGGTAATTGGGGAGTCCGCATAAGTCTGAAAGATCAACAACCTGTTTTCAGATATTTTAATTATATCCACATTTTGCAAAGGAAACTGGCAATCAATTAAACTACAGCGTAATCGTGTATGAAGTACTGAAAAGAATTGCATTTGTATAATGTTTACTATATTATAACCTTGTACATATCGGGCGTTTAGAAATTATGGCGTATAAATGAAATGGTCTCGCTGTGAGATTCATGAATGACTTCTACTGTCCATCGGTTACTATCACTACTGACAAACCGGCAACTTCGGATGCCATCGGTTTACTCGAAAAATTTAATTTCTAACGGTTTGAAAACATCGAAATACCAGCTTAAAAAAAAGGGAACAGAAACTATAGGGTTCAATTTAAGAATTGCAACGTGACCTTTGTAGGAGGTTCCAAGGTCACCTCAAGGTCAAATATCTACTGGTACGTAGTATCTCTGTAACTTTTGTCTAACATATTTGTACGTATCACAGATATTTTTCCAAATAATTCGATGTTCACAATTCGCAATACATTTGTTCAACACTAGAACTACCAGATGGGTCGAAATGACCCATTCCCCATTTCTTCTTCCACAGTTACCGAGAGCATACGAATGCTTGTTCGAGAAATAATTAAAATAGTTGATTTATTAATATACGAATTAAAATATAATTCAATTGATATCTTAATCGACGGACTGCTATGGTTTCTATAAAAAAAAATGTTTAAAAATCAATTCAAGTGTTCAGTAGTTCTAGCGTTAAAAAGAAAACCTATTTTTATCTCGGATACCGTTGAAATTTATCCATGTCCTCTAGGATTTTTTCACTGAGTTTAGCGAGTTGCATACGCTCTTTCATTTGTACGCCATCATTTCCGAACGCCCTGTATATAAATCGGTATTAAAATTCTGAGAAATGGCGGTGAATGGAAATATACAATCTACGAGATATACAAACGTAATATCGGTAAATTGCCTTGAGTTTTACATGTTCAGTTGGCGTAGTTGAACAGGCACGTTTGTGAAATTGTCCGCCGCCGATCGTTTCGTAGGTGTGCTCCTCTAAGTAGTGTCTGGTGGTTCCCCTTGGCGTAAGAGTAGCCCACATTACGCGGCTGTCCTGTATCGTGTCAGTCGCGCAAGGATAAAGAACAGCTTCATTCTGAATCCTTCCATTTTTCGTTTGCACGCCGGAGGTCGCGTTTGGCATGGATATTACCCCGTTCTTACCACTTCTATTACTACACAACGACAATCGATTATTTCATCATTTTCAACTCTTCGCACTCCGAACATGTTCAATACCTTAACACGTTCGCTACCAGCGCTTAAGGTAAAGGCATCAATATGTATTAAAAATTACTTTAAATCAGCGGTTTACATGCCTCCCTACAAAAAAATTTTTCTTCGCGCCTCCCTATCTTTTAATAGATATAATAATATAGACACGTTTTAAATAATAATGAGTATAATTAATTTTTACAAATATTCTCCCGGGTTGAAAACCGCTGCTTTAAGTGATACAATAGATATAATGGAACATATTAATAATATTTATAATTAAAATGAAATATTTTCCCATTTCCTATTTGCAAAGTTGTTCACTTATGTAATTCAGAATCCGCGAGCGCAAGCATGAACAATAGCAGCACGAAATATACAAACACCGTTTCATTCAGACGGTGTCATCTGGATTGAGATTTTTGCTCATATTATGATAATGAAAAATACCATATAATGCTTATTGTTGGGAACAAAGTCTGTCCCTACGACTCGGCGAGGGTGAAGAGTCTCGATACAATGACCGTTGCGTGAATAGGGTAGTGTTTGTATATACATGTCGCGCTGTTGCTTGTGTATTCGTAGGTTCCGAGTTAAGTGGATGAACCTGCACTTTGTCAGTATGTTCCTGTTGAATGGAAAGCATTCGATCAACGAAAAATAAGGTGACATGTATCGAGCCAACAAAACGTTAATTGTTGATGAATTTTTGTATCAATAGCGCTTGTCCTCTAATTTTGGAAATTAATTTCCAAATGGAAATTGATAATTAATTCATTATAAATTTTATGATATTGTTCTGTGGGGCTACATAATTACACTTATCTGCAATTCCAGTTGTTATCATTATATGTTTATCTATTTAAAGATTGAGGATATCTTTATACTATTTTCTTGTAATTTTACTATTATTATTCCTACTTACAATTTGCATTTCAGAAGCAATGTCGCCAATGCAATGCCTATGAAAATCACACCTACACAGGATGATATTAAGACCAACAGCCATGTGTCGTCGAAAACTGTACCTAAAATTATACGTATAACTTTATATACCATTGAGAAAACAATTGTTTCTTAATAAAACGATAAACATTTATTTATATATTAAAGCTTACAGAATTAATGAATGGATATTGAATCATGAAATAATATATAACAAAAGAAATAAAAAATTAACTCTTACACAATACTTGTTTATGATCCATCTACTCATTACAGATATTTATTAAAATACAAGAAAAATAATCACATTGAAGGTAAACAAAAATTAAAGTATTGTATCTGAAAAATAAATTACATTTTATTAGCGACAGCATTGTAAACGTAAAAACTTACAAATAATCAAAAAGAAAATTTAAAATAATAAAAGAAGACTTCAAATTAAAACCATGGTAATATATTAAACAATTACAATTGCCACTTGCTCTGCTGTAACAAATAATTAATAATAAAATAATCATAAAACATTAATCCTGTTAACCCCTTGACTTACAATATCGTGTCAGACTCGTGACGAAAATTTTAAACTGAATTTGAGAAAACTAAGTATTATTCATTTTTTTTTTAATACATAAATTAAGTATTGCTTTTCTATTATCAATCGTTAACCTTTGGAGTAAAAGTAGACATAGAATAAACATCCAAATTTTTCCTTTTCTTAATAAATTATTAACAATAAAATAGTTGTATTGATTATAGTTCAGAAAGAAATCATAGGACAAGGGGTTAATGTTCCGAATACAGAATACGTAAAAATTGAGGAAGGCAACCTTGTTGTGGCATCTCAATATATTGGACTCCTTCGGATCGACGATCGCAAAAGTGCTTACACGGGCTGTCATTGAGATCAGGCGGAAACGCCAATAAATCCGTGCGTGGGTAAAAGGTGGTACTTTGTTGAAAAATAGCCGGGAATGGTGGCGGTGGTATATGAAGAATGTCGGGGGGAGGCTCGAGTATGCACGACGCACAGCCCGAATTATTCATTATCAAATCGAATTCTCTCATCTGCAGAATGTGTTTCAAAAATGAAAAATTAGTAACTGGCAAACAAAATTTAATATAGTATAAGTAGCAACGGACTAAAAAATCAAGTACTTTCTTCCTTATTCGAACTGTTAAGTATCATTAAATTAATTTTGAATAAGTATTTGTGTAATAACTATTTAAATCATCTCAGTTGAATAATTTATTCGAATAATTATTACTTGTTTCTTTTAATCATGTAATAACGAATGAAAGTAATAAGTTGCATAATATATTTTAATAGACAATTATTCGTATCATTACAATGATTTCGGTCGAGTAATTTGGCAAAAATTATAATATAATCTAGATACGTAATTCGAAGATTATTAAAGTACAAACAGTAACAGAATGGTAAAATAACATTGTTAAAACATTACTGAATACTGATAATATCATTGTATTTTTTACATTAAAATTACATAAAATTTGTCCGGATTGATGTTAATTATTATATCCAGTAATATATATTTATGTTTTTCATTGAAAATATATTAGGAAGGAATTAGATAATAATACTTAATGATGCAAGAGAAATTAATTGAAAATAGTGAGCACTATTGTTGTAAATATATTACACGCGTTATGACACAAATAAATAATAAACTTTGATACTTATGACAGTAGCCGGTGAACTTCACTTCCTATACGCTTCGCTTCTTCCTCTTGTGACTAGCACTTCAGTTAAACATTTTTCATCACGGCATATTTACCCTGAATTCATAGAAAAACAAATTTTCATTGGATTTTGTATTTAACAGTTTTTAATATGCCAAAACATGTGTGTATAACAGTGAAAAGTAAACTCCTACCGATGAACGACACCTCAAAGTGAAAGTAGTATTAGGGTGGCTACTGGCTTCCCTGCAAGAAAAGCGCACGCGTTGTCGTATTGAGCGGCGATGAAAATTTCGCGGCCTCTCAATACATGACCGCCCCACACCCTTACAAAAACAATACCATTCGCACCATTAAAGACGAAATATAAAACAATTTCCTAGTTATTTTATGTCTGGCATGCTTTAATTATTAGAAATTTATTTTTAACTTTATAATTATTATTCCTTTCGTCTTATGCAAAATCAAATATTTTAATTAAATATCTCGGATTCATTGAGTACCTTTCAAATTATTTTATGGTATTTTACATATATGCGCATATGTATATAATTATATATATGTACATATGAATATTTATACACACATGTACGTACCTATGTTTTTACAACTTATGTAATTAAATTGATATTAAAATTGTCCTAATAGAAATACATACACCAAATGTAACAAATCCAACACTCAAATATTTATTGTGAAACGAACAATAATATTATTAAGTCTTAATATACATTTTGAATATCGGAATAAATTTGTATGTTTCTCTTTGTTTACTCTTTACAGAAAGTACAAAGAATACATAATGGACGCCAACAAACTAATATAAGTCAATGGATGTAAATAAATGAAAAACGTATAGCAAGAATTTTAAGTGAAATCATTTTAGTAATACAGAGCAATTTCACAGATGAAGTATTGGTCATACTAGACATATCACTCATAGAACTTCTCGCACACAATATTCATAACCGTGTCTATGATGTTTAGCGGGAAGTTTTAATATTTTGAATTTTCTCTTTGCATATTGTATCGCGTCGTTCAAACACGAATATAGTAAAATGAAGAGAAGTAAATAGAAGAAATGATAATACATACAAGATAAAAAGGAATGAAATTTTTTGACACATATTTTTATATATCAAAATGTTAATAACTCAGGCTAGTTAACTTTGTAATCCGACGAGTAGAGCGATTTAGTGTTTTACGGTAAATAACTAACCAACGTAAATCATTCTCGCAAATAACCACTAAATATGTAATTAAATTATTCATTTTCTCATTTTTATTATGAGCATTATAGTAATATAATATTAAGAATATTCTAATATATTTTATCACTGAAACTGAATAAAATTAAATTACAATAGACTTTAATTTGCAGAATGGTCATAGAAAATTATGACTTTCTAGTAGTTGGTGTAGGATGGAAATTTTTTAACCGTCAATAGATATAAACACTATTTTTTTTTAAATAATATACTATATTTATTGACACAAAATATATTTCACATTTATTTTTTTTATACTGCTTAAGATTAATTCATGGACTTACGAAACTTATTTTGCTAATTTTTTGTAGACTACAATAGAATATAAACCGCGTGGTTCCGGTGACACTTTGTTGTGATCGAGTTGCTCTAAATTTTGTTAATCAAAAAAGTTTAATTTATACGAAGTGCTAAATATATTTAGATATCTTGATTAATATTGGGATGTTAAATTCAATTTAATTCAAGTACATATTTTACGAAAATATGTCTAGTACTTAGTTATAGTAAATTGTAATATAACCTTTATATTAATAAGCAATTATGGAAATAAATCCGTTAAGTACAATTCTTGTAAAAAGTGATAGCAAAGGTGACAGGCTTTTGTTTCGTTATCCACATATGGCTAAGCACACACGAGATTCTAATCAATGTACTAAAAGAAAGAATCCTTATTCTTTAACTATAGCAGAAGATTCATTGCAGGTCAGCTTCACAAAATATTTTAATAGTGTATTGTTTATTCAATAATTAATAAATACTACGTATACAAAGTATGGATGTATATTGAGAATATTCCCTAAACATATAGAGTAATTTAACACTTAATATATTTTTTTAATAGTCTTTACCTTTCTCAACCTCCAACGTAAGCAATGGAAATTTAACTGGAGTAACCGATGAAGTTTTATCAACATTATTTGCCGTTAAACCCGAATTGTGTGAGCAGAAGTTCGAGTTAAAAGTAAATGATGTTCGCTTTGTTGGACACCCAACTCTTGTATCATCTCGTGGGCTAAAAGAAGTTAATTCTTCTATGCTTTTTAATATAGTTTTCGCTCTTCAAGCGCAAGCAAGTCATTCTATAGTAAAATGTTATTACGATTTAAGTAAAAGGTTTGTACTATATGTTTTCCAAAACAGTTACAATGTAAGAGATGTTATATGTAACTTATTTTAGATTAGGTATAGCATTAAGACACGAAGAAAAAAGATGTGGATTCTTAACAGAAGAAATAAAAATTATGGTTTCAACTCATGATGAAGTTGCTACTAGGTATATGGAATATTGTTTCTTATTTTATTTAAAAGAGAAGGAGATTTAGAAAAGGAATAATAGAATCTTTTTGTATGCACGTTTAGATCAGAAGGAGAGAGTGATTGCGATGAATCACCATATGAATTAATATTACAAAGAAGTTCGCTCGCACGTGACTTAAAATCTGTGTTTAACAGTCTTAGCACTTCTGGAGTTATTAATATTATGATTAATAAATGGATTCAGGTTCGCTTCTGCCTCCCACAAAAAGTTCATCAATCCCATAAGAAAGGATTCATTATTAATCCAGAAATAATAGATAGGCTAGTATCAAAGTAAATTTAAAAAATGAAAATAATATTATTACATCTAATGTTCTATTACAGGTGTTTAAATAGTTTAAGACCTTATCATGGTTTATTATTACTCATTGAACCATTAAATTTGTTGGATACACTTCCCCTGGATTCTTCTCCAGCTCTTAGACGTCTCATTCAGATGTATAGTCCATTGAAAAGTTTACAAACTTTAGCTGCCGATTCCGATCTTACCCTTACTCAAGTTTTTCAATTAACTGGTCACCTAGTTTATTGGGCCAAAGCTACTATAATTTATCCCCTTTGCGAGAGTAACGTTTATGTTGTATCGCCAGACGCTGTTATTACAAATCAATTATTAGAGACATTCTCTGAAGAATTTCCAGGACTATGTCTTTTACAAGTCAGTACAAAGAAATTAATTATTATACATATAAACGTAAAATTAAATTTTAATTATCAATTCCCATAGGTCATTAGTGATTTCTCGTTACCAACATCAATCAGTCAAAAATTAAATCCTTTGAACCAATCGCAACAACAAACACAATTAGTGAAAATAATAATATGGTTGTTAAAGAATCATTTGCTTTTACAATTGCACACATATGTACAATACATGCCAACTGTGCATGGTCGAGTACCATTGGTAAGTGTAAAAAATACTTTTTTTAAAAAAGTTATTAATTAAAAATATATTTTCTAAAGGATATAAAAGATGATACAAATTATAACATAAAAGAACTCACAGAGAATGGCAATGCAAGAAATTTGAATGATGTTTCAAAAGGCTCTTCAACTGACATGAAGGAAGAGTTATTATTGAATCTTCATAAAGAAAATGGAATATATAATTATCAGTCAGAAGATTATGATATTTCATCTGACGATAGGAAATTGTTAGATAGATTATGTCGACTTGGTTATTTTAATGGGGGTCATCATTTAGAAGAAATTATGTACTTAGAAAATATACGGAGATCTCAAATATTACAAATTTTAGATAAGTTTCGGGACGTATTAATCACATGTGAGTGCGAAGACCCTGCCATAGCTCTCTTTTTCAGTCAGTTTGGTTCTTAGCATTTTAAATGTACATATTTTTAAATTATGTACAGCTTATGTTTCATCGTTGTTACTGACTGAAAAAATTGTAAAAATATTTAAATATACAATTATAATATATTGTATGGTAACAATGAAATTTTAATAAGTGTTGTATAAAACGGAAGAAAGTTAATTTTAATGTACCATTTTAAATATTTGTTTATATTTATGTAAATTAAAAACTTTATTGTACATTTGTTTAACATTTGTTATGCATTTTTACAAAAGGAGGAATAAAAATTAATAAATGATCCTAATATATTTAGTTGTAGTTCATTTAATTCTAGAAAATGAACAACTACTAATTCGTATACAAAGTAATATGTATTTTGAAATCAAATTTCAATTATCTGCCTTCTATTTTTGCGTCATGTTTTAATAACATGTGCTGAACATGACAAATGTCGGTGCGTAAAATGTAAAGCGAGGCTTTATGAGGTGAATATTTTTTTCTAGTTTTATCCCTTAATACATTTTAAAATATATCTAGGACTTTTTACATTTTCGCTTTCAAATAAAATTTTGATTTAGAAAGTGAGAGCACTTTATTATCAATTGAATATTAATAAAGGATACTGCAGGAAACTTCTGAATTGCTTTATAAATTAAAATATGTTATTATTTAAAAGTCGTGTATCATTGGTTCCAATATTTCAAACTAAACCACTTTGAAAAAATCTATTATATAAAAAGTTATTGCTACAAGTGGTGACTTCTCTTTGTTTACAATTGAGTTTTAGTAAATATACACATATATCTAATAAGATATAATGAAATATAGTGGCACCGTTTTACGTATTTAGATGAAGCGCAATTGCGCTACGAGGCATTCGAATATTAATTTTAAAAACACATGACAATTCTTTCTATTGTATTAAAGATTCACGGATATATTTATCAAACTATTTTCATTGCAATGTATGTCTCTAGAGTATTAAAAGAATTTTCTTTGATTTCCTGTATCCTTATTTTATTTTAATGATGTACATATTATCATAGTTTTTCCCGGGGATAACTTTGCATCTTTTTCAGTTTTCTGAGAGCACATTTTGCTGCGGTACATTTTGCAATCCTAAAGTTTCTACCGATTCCTTTGAAGGAACCTTTGCCGAAAACATCTACCGTAACCCTAACTCTACGTCCATCGGCCAACTTTTCAGGTGTTCCGAACTTCGCTGTTTCAGGCTCCAGTTCCAGTAATTCACGAATTGGAGATTTAGGAACATTAGTGCTAAATTGTTCTGAAACAGTAAAAAATATTTACTTTTTTTATCGTTCTTGGTAAGAAGTATATGCCCAAATAAAATCTAAATGTTATTTACCAACTTCATTCCTCATTATGGCATAGTAAACACCCCATACAGCGTCTAAAGACATACCACTATCTAAATAAATTGCACCAGCTAATGATTCAAAAACATCTCCTAATGCTTTTGGTACTTCCACATCTTCAGCCTCCTCGCATTCCTCTTCACCGATTAAATAATACTAAAATGTAATTAATAAAAAATTATTTAGTAAATGAATTTTGAAACTGTCCAAACATGCATTGTATACATTGCCAAGAAGTTATTCATTTTTGGTCCATTTGTGTTAAAGGACATGCAAATAGATAAGAGGAAAATAAAATTGTTACCTCCTCGCTAATGGAATGTCCATTTTCTTCTTGAATTCTAACAAAACGATTTATAACAGCACTTAAACCAGGAGAAAGATGACGGAAATATTTATGAAATCCACATCGAACTGCCAACGACGCAAATATAGTATTATTAACTAAAGCCGATCGTAAATCTGTTAAAGCACCTGGTGAATGTTGTCTAGCATCTTCATACAAATGCCTTGTTATTAAGTAATCTAAAATTACAAATTCTTTCTATTTCAAATCTGAAAATATTAAAAATCCACAATCCTCCGCTTAAGCGTTGACATAAAATTTCTGGATTTCCCTTTGAGCAATGTTTTTCCTTTAAATATAGTTATTATACCTAATATTTCAGCAAATTTTAACAAAGCCAACGACTGTAAATAAATGTTTGAAGAAAGAGAAATATCTTAAAATTTGTATCTAAGTTTTATAAGTAATAAAATTAAGATAAAGGAATACGCTTATTTTAACGACACCGACGAACAGTTCAATTTACACTTAGTATTTGAATTTATTTAACGTGTATTCACTAAGAAACAATAGAAATTATGAAAGTTTTATTTTACACTCACCGATGTGACTAGTATGTTGTAGCTATTATATTCAAACTAGGCGTCCGAGATTTGTTCCCCGATTTGTTCTCAAGGTTTATTTTTGTGTCCCTCCTTATGAAAAAATATCTGTACAAATGACTTAAGAAATAGATCTTCCGGAGAATCTTCTGTCTTTATATTAAATTCATGCATATATCTTTTTTTTTATTGAGACTTTTATAAAATGAACAATACGAATTTATAAAAAGTATTGTAAATAATAATGTCGCTAAAAAAGTAATATTTAAGATGCAAAGAGGCAATTCTATAAAAACTCTATGTAAAATAAATGTTTTATGATCTGGTAGAAATTTATAAGATAATTCATAAAGTCTGATTATAGAGAAAATGACTGTATCTTAATCTTCAGTAACAGTAGTTTGTTATAATATTGGTAAAGGGAAGTCCTGAAGTTTTGTGACAACACCCACGTAGAAAAAGTTGTATACATGGAATACAATTATTCTAATCTGTTTATTACCTAAAACAGCGTCTCCAAGAAATTCTAAGCGTTGATAACAATCTGTTAGTCTATTGGGTTGATACGATGCATGAGTGAATGCTTGCAGAAGATAACTACTATCACGAAATTTATATCCTATGCTCTTCTCGAGCTCACAATAACCATCAAGCATCATTTTCAATTCTTGTTCTGGCTCTGGAATGTGTCGAAGTAAAGGATTTTGAGGTTCTTCTAATGTTCCATAACGGATCTATAAAGAATAAATTTATTTTTAGAATGCCTTTCAAAACAAGGTATTAAGATGAAGTTAGAGCAAAACACAACAGCAATGATAACTGAGCAAAAGCTTCTAATAACTCTTTCATTTCTCTGAGCAAAACTGCACGTAGATACCTACATTTTCGAAAATCTCATCACATACATACTTCTATATTCTTAATGAGTTAGTCATTATTTAGCAAAATATGAAAGAAAAATAATCATGACTACAAATTCTAAGGACCCTCTTCTTCCAGCACATACTTTAGCATCACTCCTGAAAAATTCACGGGATTGTGTTGTGTTTTGCTTTATTCTTCAAATGAATGAATGGTGATTTAAAAAAGTGTCTTTGACTAATTAGATATAATTACCTGAGTCCATGTTACTTGTCCTTGTTCATTTATTTCTTTTATATACGGCGTACTACCAGGAATCCTTTCTTTTGGTTCGGTTTCTTGTACTACAGTAACTTCTTCTGTAGGTAAAACGTGAATTCCTAACCAAGCCATAAAAAGCAATGCACCTCTGGGACCACAAGCAATTAAGTATGCCCCGATTAATGCCTCCACACAATCTGCGATACTTTTATCAGGAATGCTATGTTGAGTGATTAAATTATAAGGTATAAAACAACGTAAGTTGTCCAAATTGTTTGAAATTATGGTTTCATTACGATTAAGCTCGCTCTTCATGATGCCCAACTTTTGTTCTGTTTCTCTAACAAGTTGAGTTATATCAGTGGGATTTACAGTTTGTAGGGTCGGAATGTCAGCTTGATTCCAAAGACTAGAAGGAATACCAGATTCTATTAAAGCTTGTTCAAGTTCTTTCGGAACATAATAACAAGGAGGTAACCAATTGTCATGTGGTTCAAATTTTGTCGCAATCATACTTTCACCCAACATTTTTTGTCTTCCTAATCGGTATAAATTTAAATTGCTGACCTAAAACATTTTCTTGTAGTAAAATTAGAAATAATAACATCAAACGAAGACACCTAAGCATTTGAATACTAATACCTGTTTAGACCTTAAGTGACTAAGTTTGCCTTCATGAATATTGTCGTATGTACAATAGAGGTATGTAGTTATAGCATATTTTAAAAATGAATCTCCAATAGTTTCTAAACGTTCTAAATTAATGCCATCATTTGCATTGGACATGGTTAAAGCTTGCAGAATTAAACTTGGACTTGGACCTGGATGATCTTTCAATTCAGGTTGAAAGTCAAAACTAAAAAGATCACTGTCTGGATCATGTGTAAAGTCTATTTTATTGAAGTCTTTTTTTATTGGTTGCAAACTAATGGTTTTATTTAATATTTCTGTTTTAAATCTGTCCACAATTTTTTCTATATAAGTTTTGTGTTTACAATCTTGCTTAGTTTCCTCGGGCAATGTGTTGACTATATTTTTCCTTGTAATTATAACATCATTATTACAAGATATAAAAGATTCATTATTCATTAATTCCTGCTCTCTAATTTTAGTAAATTCGTAATGAGATTGTCTATACTTTTCAATTAATGATTCCTCATTCTTTTTTGTATACGTCCATAAGCTGTCATCGCCTCTTTTCTCGATTTCTAATAAATCTAAAATCTTTTTGTTAATTTCCTGTTTAGTTATTTGTTTTTCATCTTCAACAGCTTCTGCAACGTTTTCCCCCATATAGGATATTCGTAATCCTCTATTTTCATCTTCACTTTCATCTGAAGTGTCATTAAACCCATCACTATAAATATCATCCGATTCATATCCATCGAAATCCGATTCACAAGCAGGGGAACCATATCGAACGCCGTTCCAATTGAAATCATTCGACAAAACATTTGTGTTTAAATCATTTGTTTCAAATTCTATTGGGGACACGGCCATATCATTTGACCAAGTACCAATTTCAAATTCATTTTCATTACTTGATATTTGCGATTCACTATCTGTTACATTTTTACTTACTGATTGAAATTCACAAGTCTCATCAGTTACTTTTTCTTTACACTTATTCAAAGGATCTGCTATATTTTCAGATATATTTTCTATCTTCTTGTCAACAACGTTATTATATACAAAATTTTGTAATGTCGTTTCAGTTTTCGGAACTTTATTTTTGTCCGATTCTTTTGATTTTTTTAATACTTCTGCTAAACTCCATCCAAAATCTAACGCCGGCCATTCAAAATCTAAAATATTTCTTAATTGTCATTCGTTCGTTAACTGTATGTCTGATTTTATACATACCGGCGTCTAAATTTTGACATCCTAAATTTATAGTTTGAGCAACTTGACATCGTATTTGATCAGCCAATAATAAGGCATTGATTCTATATAAAATACAAGGTAAACAAACTGCTTGTCTCCACAACGAAGCTGGAAACGGATGAATTGCACACAACTCGGCAACGAGAATTTGTTTTTGTTCTAAATTTTCTCGTTTTGCGCGTTTTGTTTCTTCACTACTAGTAGGCAAAGCAACGCCCTTCCGATTTACATATCTGAAATGGAATTGTTTTGTTGAGAGTTTTTTATTATTAATGTCTTGAAAATAAAATTAAAATTATGTCATTATCCTCATATATTGTCATATATTGTCATTAAAATTTGTCAAACAACCTTGTATATAAAAATATATAAAAAATATTACTTTTTCATATTTACCTAGGTGTCAAGAAATTTAACCTAGCTGATGTATGATCCACATCTAACAAAGGTTGAACTACGTTTTGTATTTGTATATCATATTTTTTAAGATAATATTCTTCAAATGTACTATAATCATCTCCAGGAAAAGAAGACTTGGGATTTAAATTTGAACAGATTTCAGCCACATAGAAATACTAAAATGAATTAAAAATTGTTACATTCATTTCTACTATCTTCCAAACTTATTTGAATGACTGTTTAAAAGGTAAAGTGTTAATTTGTAAAAGTAAAACTTCTTTACATAATACATTTGTACACAAAATTATAATACAATAGATAAAATTAGATGCACTAGATAAAATTATGACTAATCACCTGAGGTTGATCCTGACTTCTATACCATGGCATAATTACTGCATCATGGTATTTCAATGCATCAAATTTAAAATCCTTTCTGACTTCTTCAGGAACCTTCATTGGCACTGAATTTCGATTTTTATATATACACTCCAAGAAATCCCAATCTACTGTTACATCTGCTTCTTTATCTACAAAAATATATTATGTATGTAAATGTATAACATACAATTAAAAGATTTTTAATATATTTATAATCACCTAATTTTACAGGTACAATCATATAAGAATTTTCAGAAGCATTAGGATCAAAAAGCATTAAATACTGTTGTAATCTTAATACATTTGTAAAGGTATAATTAAGAAAAGTAGCAATTTTCTCGATCTGTGCTTCATTTAAAACTACTGTTTGTTTACTGAGTTTTAACTTTACATGAACTTCTCCAGATCTAGTATAGATTGGAAAAGGGCAGAGCTGAAATAAAGAATTAAATGTTAATAAATAATGCATGAATATTAACAATCGTACTCCTATTTTATCAGTTTACTGATAAGTATTTACGTAGCAATAAAATATTTTTTTCAACCTATCCAATAGAAAAGTTTTAAAAAGTTAAATCAGGATTTAGGAAGATTTTATTCATTGTCTTTGTCATTTATGCAGTTCAAGTACCATGAAACGGAATATGATGTTACAGAATATTTTTTTTATTAAGATTTTTTTAATACCATTAACAAATTTTTAATGTATACTTGGGACACCTGTATATTTGAATTTTTATTAGGAATGGTTCTTTTACTTTGTGTATTACCTTAGGAATTTTTTTTAATGTTATAATGCCAAAACCAATAGCTGATTCTTCGGGAGGATAAATACGTCGACCCCTGGTATTTTGTTCTTCGGGTAAAGGGCAACTCAAAACCATTTTAATATGATACAGGTAGGAAGGAATTCCTGTTTTTGGTCTGCAGTCCGTTAACGCCTCAGCTGTCTAAAAAGTAAAATCTTTGTCTTAAAATATACAATAAAAAATCACGAATTAAAAAATTCTGAAACAAAAGAATACTAATTTTTAATAAGTTAACATTAAAAAAAAACCTTTTTGTAATAATATTGTCTACGTTTAGTTGTTCCAGGCCGAGCTTCGGAAAAATCCACTTTACTTTCATCTGGAAGAGCAGGTACTTCTGCATCTTCCGGTTTAGCTTTAAAATTTTCTTTTCCGATGGGCAGTAAATTATCATCTATTTCATTTTTCCTATGTAAATCTATGCACAACTGTAGTGCGGCCATCCGTCTTGCCATAGCTCTATTAGGCATAGGATAGGACTGAAATTTAGTTTTAAATAAGTCTTTTTTCAGAAGAAATTTGTCAGTAGATGTTTAATATTTGATCAGAAAATTATTTACCGATATAATATATTTAAGTGGTGAGTTTATAGGAAGTCGCAAAGAACATATATACATAAGCACATTGTCTATATTAATTTCGGAAATGGACCACTCTGGTGTTAATCTCGTGAACGTATCACTAGGTAATTTTGCACAATATCTATACAAATAAAATATTATAATAATATCAAATAAATGTACGTGTGTTAGTAACACAATACTAAAAATACATATTTTCTTCATGCAATTATAATATTGCACTACCTGTTTACCAATGATATGGCAGAATTGAAAGTTACTCCAGGTACATCATCTCCTTCGAGTGGTTTATATTGTGGTATCATAGCAGCATATGCATCAGCTTCGTTTTCTTCTTCTTCAGTAGGTTCATTATTGGAACACTTCATCAATAATATCTGTAAAAAATATTAGTATTCTTTTAATACAAATTATCACCAATGTGTATTCATTAGTGTATTCATTCTACAAAACTATACTAATGAATATTACTTGTGTTGTATTACTATTATGTTGGTTGCATAATCAATCATATATTAGTACATAGAGTGTTAAAAAATTATAATAATTAACTTTATCCCGGACACCACTCAGATTTCAATTCATGTTCACTAAGGTTCTTTTTACTCGGTTTAGTGAGTTCTATTTGCCATTTCATTTGTATGTCATATTTTTGTAACATGCAGTATAGTTTTTATATTACATTAAAATCAAATTATTAAAGTATACTGAAAATTTATGAATAATTATCATAGTTTTATACCTTTTCTATATAATGATATTGTGCTAATTGCCATACACACTCTTTCGAAGTTGGTTTTGGTACTAATATTACGTGTATCGCATCCACAGCTCTTGCTCGACTTTTGCATTGTACATATGATTGGTATGTTTTTGGAAAATCATATCGCATTACAAAATTGCATTTTGGAATATCAATACCTAGTACAAATAAAATATTATCAGGTGCCGCGGGTAAGCGTACTATTAAGACGAATTACCTAGTAGAAATAGAATCGCAAACCTTCTTCCAAAATTGAAGTTGAAATCATTAAATTACACTCATGCATTCTGAATCTTTTCAAAACTTCTTCTTGTTTTCTGTGCTCCACATCTAAATCTTTCGAATAACCAATGTCATCTGGATTTCTTTCAATTGTATAAAGGGGTGAGAGGAAATGTAACTGATCATCTTGTATAGAAATTTCATGTAACAAATAGAACAATATTTTTGCTATAAATGCTTTATCCACAAAGATCACTCCACAGAGTAAATCGGGATCTGTAACTCCACGCAGGTGACGTTGAGATTTAGGTGGCCTTTTATAATTTTCTTCATTACTTTTCCAATTACTTTCAGATTTCTTAATTTGTCCAAAGTTATCCTTACAAGAATTTTCTTTGTTATTTACTGATAAATTTTTTAAATTATTTTCTTTATTCATTTTATTATAAACATTATCTCCACCCTTGACATAATATGGAGTGTAAGTTTTCAAAACTTGCAGTAATCGATGAACCTTTGGTGTAGTGTATTTATATATTCTTTCTTTCTCAGTTAAAACTTCAAAAGCATTGTCACATAAAGCTCGTATTTTCGTAAATACAGATGCTACCATATTTAATAACAGGTAATGTCTTTCATAAGGAGTTTTTATTTTTAGTTTTTCCGTTAAAATTAAAAGAGCAAGTGCAGCACGATCGGCACACCATGGTCCAAGTGTTTCTAATACATGCAAGAAGTCCTGCATCATCTCAATAGGTCTTTCTGTCGGATCAGGTATTTTTTTGATGTCCTCATAAAATTCTTCATTATATATTTCCGTTGGGTCATGACGATGATCACGTAAGAAATCAATAACATGTAATATATAACTTTCAATTGTATTATGCAATTCTCCTTTCTCACTTTCAGAAAATTCCACTACATATTCTTTAGGTTTAGGACTATAGCTATTGAAAAAGTTAAGGTATTTAAATTGAAATATTATTTACAAATAAGGAAAGATCTCCAGACATAACATCACTTTTTTAATAAAGTTTCCACCATAACGAAACTTGAAATTTTGAAATCAACAGTTGTTCATTTTAGTGATATATATGACAATTGACTATAAACTTTCAGGTTCAATTACTGTAAAAGCCTTATTAAAAAAGTAAGTACTACATGTAGTTCATAAGACAAGTCCTGCAAGTAATGCAGGTTTAATTGATTAGCTTTCATCTTTTCTCATCTTATTTTTGATACTAATTTCCTATTTATCAATGCAGTTATATGTAACTAATTATGAACAAAACACATAGCGAGAGACCTCTCTTACCTCTGTGCAGTCCCAGGGCTTGTCTTATGAATAACATAGAGTACTGAATATCATTCCTCATAAATTATTACACTTACCGTAATATAGACAATATATCACTAGCTGTTTCAACTTCGCATTGAAATGTAGCTTCTACTTTTTCTATTTCTAGACCTAATCTTCCAGGTTCTTGAGTTAAATTAAACAATGGTACCGCTAATCCAATAATTCTAGGAACATTGATACATGATAAAAACCTTTGCAAAATGAATATTAATTTGCTATCATCTATAGATTTATGGCACTCGTCAACAATGACTAGATTTATCTCATGTGGTAAGATCTTTTTATTTGCTAATAATTGTGCACACACATTGGAAGTTGTGACTAATACCTGAAACAAAATAATAGCAAATATCAAAGAATATTGAAATGCGATACAAAGTGTATGGAAAGATAATAATAATAATATATCTTACATGAGAAGTTTCATATTTTTCTGAAAATTCTGCTTGTAAGCAAGTGTCACACAGCAATACCTTTAAATCTGTTAATTGCTGTATGTAACTTGCTTTTATTTTATATTTTTCTACGTCTGTCAATATATATAATGATCGTTTTCCTCCATCACTTAATAATCTGTTAATGAAATAGTAAATTAATTCAATAAAATACAAAATAAATATGTAAAATAATATTTATTTCAACTGTAATATTATTACCTCCTATTATTAGTAGCAAATTCTTGAATTAATTTTATGACAATAAAGGTTTGTTCATAATTTTTACCCAGGCAAATTATTATGTTTTTCTCTTTGGCAGTATAAAATAATTCTACCTGTAGCAACGTAAATATCACATAAATATTTTATAGTTCTCTTATTTCTTAAATAATTTAAAAATTCTTACTTGATATTCTCTAGGCGTGAAGGATTTTGTATAAACTTGATCGTTAAGTGGAAATGCCATGGAACCTATAATTTTTACTACCTTAAAAAGATAAGGATAATACTTTTAAATATAACAAAAACAATAAACTTTTCGGTTTTACAAATTGTACTCAAATATTAAGATTAGGCTAGAATAGTATAACGAAACAGTCCTTATACATATTGAGAACACACTGTAAGTTTTTACTGTACATTCAAAATAGCAACAGACTTTGTCTAACAACATTCACGGCTTGACTTATCATGTGATCAACCTCTCATTGGTCCATTACGTACTGAACATGAACGTTGTGCGTAAGTAGATACTTACTTACATTACAATATGTTACCCCAGATGAGGGTTTTATGTAGACCTTCGGGGGTGTTAAGACCCCCGTACCATTTTCGTATCACACTTGACGTTACCGATAATACAAGATTTAAGCTTGTTAGCTGGAATTAGATTAATAAGGCGCGTACATTTAAATGATGGAAGTAATATTTATTCAATAGAACTTCACGACAATGAAGTTTTTATTAATTTACAAACGTAAATATTTTTATAAATACATTTACTATATTAAGCACATCTATAAAATTTATATTAGAAATTATTTTGACTAATTATATAAATTATATAAATTTATTTTAATATCTTAATTTACTTCTTTTAGATCTCTAACATTCCACAATTTTTCTAAAATCTGTTTCAAATCATTCAAACATTATTCTTACAATCGATCACTTATTTTTAAAGTATTGAAAACTAAATCGATTAATCGTTTGACAGTGTTATCGATAGCAGACTGTAATACCTAACAACTTCAAGGCGAACGTTCTTTTTGGCCGTTAGTGCGATACTGGTAAGCATAACCATTTTTCTTCCCGTTAAAAATTTTAATAAATAATATTATGTTATTGATTAATTTGTATCAATAACTTTTTTTGAATAATTTTTTTGTATTACTAACATTTTGGTATTGAAACAGTAGCCACTTTAAAACTTTAAGCATGCTTTTCGTATAACACGTGTCAAAGTTAGTCGTCCATCTTTA